ATATATATATATATTTATTTATTTTTATTCAAAAACTATAGTCCAACTGAATACAATTTACTGTAAAGTTTCTGTTTAAGTCCTGTGTGTATACAACTAACGCACATCAAACTTATTTCTAGCTTTTGCAATAGCTCTTAATTTCTAGAACTTTTCTAATTTATAATTGAAGAAAAAAGGTTGTTAATAAAAGCAACTGCATTACAGAATGACAGGCTTTCATTCTTAATAATTCTCGGCCACTTAATATTCAATATACTCCTTACGTGTTTTCTATGACAAACATTTAATTTGTCATGCTTTGGCGCTTACCAACTGCTGTAATTATACAGTAAAATAAATACCACTAAAGCATCATAAAGCTTAAGTTTATAATCATGTGAAATATTCCTTTTGGTCCACATCCTCTTAAGGTTATTAAATCCTATGAATCATCACATAGGTACTATCTAATAGTCTTATTTATGTGATCTCCATTATTCATGCATAATAACTTTCTAGCCATATAAAATGTTCATATTTTGAATAACATCATTATGGTTGCCATAGTGATTCTGATTTCATGCCTACTCTCTTAGACAATTAGCGTAGCATTCACAGGATGTGATAGCAGATTCATATCGTATTTCATAACATACAAATATTTAAAAACCACTAAAATTATATGAAACAGTAGTATAGTGTTAATGGTATGGGGAAAAGTCTTGTATTTCTCGCCATCATTTTTCTTTTCGAAAGGCTATTCTGATACAATTAAGACACCACATGTTGCTATTCAAGCACTGGTATTATTATTAATATATTTGTTATATCAAGAGGTACAAATCAAATCTTACAAAAGAATAAATTAAATATGTCTATTGTAAGCCTACTTTTACAAGGACACACATAAAGCTTGTACATTATCTGTTGACCTTACTGCGTCACTATCTCAGCCAATTGTGACTACGGATCCCTCGTTTATAAATTTTATGTTAGTGCGTCATCGTTTTCAAAAAAGTATAACAATGTGTATTATAGTCCAATTTGACTCCTGTTTAAAAACACTATTGAGGAACGCGTTGATTGATAATGATGGATCGTACAGTGGACTTATACAAACATTGAACTCTTGAATTCAGAAATAAATTTAAACTACTTCTTTGAAAATTCATTTTGCGACTTAATTAATACGGGTACTATTTCAGCCGTGCACGAGTGCCTAAAAATAGCCAACAATGGATACTTCAACGGAAACACCTTTATACTGTAATTTTACGTGGATTGAAATGGTTAACTACCAACTTCAAACAAGATCAGATACATATAATCATTATTATATCATTATATGCATTTTTTGTTCGATTTCCATTGTTTTAAATCTTCATGTAATTCTTTCGTTTATATTTGAAAAAGATTTAAGAAAGCGTCATCATATTTTCATTGGTTCGTTGGCTCTCTCCGATTGTTTGTTCTCCGTGACAATTCTGATCTCAACCGCCGGTGGAAATCTTCAGCCTAACACACGGAAGCTTCTATGTACAATTGCCGTAGCTGCTGCGATCATCTCACTGCAGACATTAGTGGCGATTGCAATCGAAAGACTCTTCGTTATTGTTTTGTATCCGTTTGATAAGGATGTGAATTCACCCAAGAGACTGTTTGCTGGGGCATCAATGATCTGGATTTTGTCTTTCACATTTACACTACTCATGAATTATTTTGGAAATCAAAAGAAGTTAGATAATATTCTAGGTATCTGGAACTTGTCGATCCTTCTAGTTCTTCATGTTGTATATTTCATAATATATAAAAGCGTTGCCAGACACGAAAAGAAGATGGCACCATCTAGATCACACGTAGAATATGTATCAAAGAGGCTTCTCAAGACATTTTCAATAGTCAGCGGTTCGTGCGCGGTTTGCTGGCTACCGATTGATATCCTTAAGCTTCGCATTTTCGATTTAAGCTGCAAGGAAGAGTTTTATATTGACCTATATCTTTTCGGATTCAGTTTAGCGGTAGTATACTCTGTAATTAACCCGCTGGTCTATGGCTGGAGAATCAAAGATCTAAGGGAAGCTACTCACAGACGTATGCTGAGGTTATGTAACATGTGCCGCAGAGGTTAAGGAATAAGCTTAAGCCCTGTCCAGACTGCCACATTTTATTTGAAAAAAAACAAAAAAAAAACAAACATGTGAGATGCCTAATGGAATGATGACATCACATTATGACCATATATAGGTACACTATGACTATATATGAGCAATCAAGAAAGAAAGGTTGATAGCCTTAACAAAGCTTACCGTATTTTATCATACAAATTAGTCTAATTAAAAATTTGATTCAATTGGTTTCACACTATATATGTGCAGGTACAATACTAGTAGGCCTACTCGACGCTGATATGCATAATATTTTATGTATGACTAGAGGGTGCGCACGCTTACCCTCTAGTATGAGAACGTTGAAATTAGTTTCGATAAGAGAACAAATATGTATGACAATAAACGAAGATAGGGTGCATGCTGTATGCCTCGGTTAGGAATAACTATAGTTATTGTTACATTTTAGAAATGCATTGTGTACATTATGTTGTATGATTTAAAATTGAGAGGGCGCTATGTATATGGCGTCTCAGAGCCATACAGAGGTACTGAGGCTTATGAGGGCATGGGGAATTGAGATCAGGAGGTGTCAACAGCAATTGTGTGAAAGAAAGTATTTAGTACTATTGAAATGTAAATCAAAAAATTTTAAAAAATGTAAAAATGTAAAAAAAAATTTTAAAAAGTTTAAAAAATGTAAAAACGTTAAAAAATTTAAATGTTAAATGTAATATGGATTAGGTAGGTATTCCCTGCAACTCGTTAAAACAACCTGGGTACGTGACACCAAACACACCATATACTTTTTTTAAATATAATTTTGGGACTTGCCTCCTGATTGAAAAGCATTTCTCCCGATTTTCCCCAGCTTCTTCTGATTTAAGAATAAATTTAAATCACTATATTAACAGCGGGTAATTTAGCTTAATTTAAACTTTACAAATTAGTAATTAGTTAAATCCAAATCAATCATTTTGGCTCTCTAAACAGAAAAAATCGAACCTGACGGAGAGGGGAAACATTCATCCTCTCCCAGACCCAGACCCATCCCCCGATCGGCCCTCGGTTGGCGCGCGTAGCGCTGAAACATTAAAACTATGGAAAAAATCATACATCTTATTTTGTTCTCCTGATTTTTATTACTCAAATGTTGGCATGTATGAGGATGATGATATCATTTATTACAAAATATAAGCCACAATATTAGTACGTTTAATAGATACAAAATACAATATCAAGTTGTTGCTGATTCGAATGTAAGGACTGGAGTGAGTTAATTAAGAAAATATATAAATATATTTATACACACAGAAGAGAATAAACAGCATTCGTGTCTCACGACACAATTGTGGCATAATGAGATGTTTGGGTAATTTAATTAGTTACTGGACTTACCCCAGGGGAATGACCACTACTAATTGGTGTGTGTTGTTGCATGACAACTTGCTTGGTATTTGTTGTTTAGTAGACACCCTAGCTACAGTAGTATGGTTGTTACAGTAGTATACCGGTAGTTGAAATGCAATATTAAAGTTCATGGTAAACCTGTATATTGTTTCACGTGTGTTTTTAAATAGTTCCACGGCTAATTAGCATGCTAACGACGTTATTTTAATCTGTTCAACCATGAAACCTCTGTGGTCTAATTGTTATGGCGCTCGCCTTGACAGTGAAAGGTCGCATGTTCAAATTACGCGAGGAATTTCATTACACAATTTCTTTAGTTATTAATTTATTTATAAGACTACATTTTTTGAGAGCTTTGCTTTTTATAATAGTTTGTCAAGGTCTCGTAAAGAAATGATTACATTTTTGTGACGATCCAGAGTAGGGTGTGGATATCTGGAAATTCAAAGGAAAACGTCCCAGACCAGATATTTCAAAAACAGGGGTCAACTGATCTGAATGAAACATTTGGGCGGACAAGTTTAAAAAAAGTTAGAAGGAAGAAATTACAGTAGGTTAGGGTGTAAATTTGAGGGTCATTTAAATTGCTTACGTCCCAATGGACGTAAGTAATTAAATGGATCAAAATGAAAATTTGCAGAATAGCTTTTCATGGTCCAATGAAATTATCAAATTTTGGTCACGCTCCGCAGTAGGGTCTGGATATGAGGACTATTTAAAAATTTTTTTGGACAGTTGATTAAATTATGTAAACGCAATTTGCGTTTTCTAAAGCGTTTAAACTAGCTGCAGCTAGGTTAAACTTAGCCTAAAAGTATCGGGATACACGAACAATTTTTGCTTTCATCACTGCATCGCTGGCTTATGCAAGGTCGGCTCATGTAGAGAGCAATGGGTATGAGACCAAGCTTCAGTGGCGGATCCAGAGATGTCCGGAAGTGGGACCGATTGAGATAAAGGTACCCTAGGGTTTGTGTTCTAGACGCCCGAAAATTACCTCTGAGGTGTTTTGGGGATCAATTTTTTCTTTCTTTTTGTTTTCTTTCTTTTTTTTTCCAAAAGGAGGACCTGGGCCCGCCCGCCCCCTGACTTTATAATAAAATGAAACATATACCTGTCACAGCAAATAGAAACCTTAGTACTAAAACAAGAGACTAAATTACAAATAAAAAGATGTTTTATGCACTTATAATGAAAGATTACATCATGGTACTTTCTTCTGTAAAGGGGATATAATTTAAGATTGTAACCTTTACTTATACTAAAGATGTTTTCATCGATAGGTTCGGGACATTCAAAAATTTAATGTATTCTGTCGATTAGCTTGCTTTGAGAGATTAGAAATGAATTGAAAACTTCATTTCTGGTTTTATTATCAAACTCACTGTAAAATAAATTGAATTATGAGAAGACTTACATATAAATATAAATATAGTCTTTACAAATTTCACTAAATAATTAAACCTAAAACTTCATAATACCATCAACCACCCCCACCCCCCCCCCAAAAAAAACAACAAAAAACACACACACATCAAAGCAACAAAAGGTTTTACCAACAGCAATAAAATACATCAAGAATAAAAATAAGAATCTGCTCAAAAATGGGAAAAATTTCAAAAGGATAAAAGACCATTAACAATAGAAAAAAAAAATCAAAAGCAAAAGCAAACACAAAAAAATTACAACAATAAAAATCAATGATTAATATAAAAGGGCCCACTCAAATATCAAACAAAAATCCAAATATTTAAATAATAATAATAAATAAAAAATAAATTCCATATAGTGAATATATAAAAAATAATATATTTGTAAAGGTGCCACTTACACAATTCAGTAACAAATGTTATTTGCCTTTATGAACCTTTACTAATAGGGCAAATAACCCTTACACCACTTACAGACTATCGGATTTATTTGGAAAAAAAGTATTGTATGCCCATATATAGTCATGATATATGGTCATGTTGTGATGTCATCATGACCATATATAGGCATGTTACATGTTTTTGTCAAACGCAATTTGATAATCTTGACAGGGCTTTAGATTAAACCATGTTATGCAATGACGGAGACAGCGTCAGTTATTGAAAAAGCCAGATAGTATAAAGTAAGAATTTCATGCAAGCATGATTAGAAACAATAGGCTAGGCTAGGTGGGATTAGAATAAACAGCCTAAACAAGTAAACAGGAAGGCCAAAACTAAACTTT